AAAACCAATACTGCATCCTACGCATAGTAAGTGAGGACCATCCAGTTAGGCTATACAGTGTGCAATGATGAGTCCTATAGGGTGCATTTGATATATAACGCAGTGCAGCATAGTAGAGTGGGTCAAGTTTGGCCAAAACAGTGGGACAGGCAAATCTATAAATGGTATCACCGTAGTCCAGCTGGGACAGGAATAAGCCAGAGACCAACCTCTACATCATATTTGATCGACATCTCTTTTCTTCCTGCAGCTGAATGAATGTGTACGTTTACCCAGAGGCATCATTAAAGTTTGATCCAATCCAACACACAACACATTAAAAAGAAAAATGGAATGATCCGAGGTGCTGGAGCGCGGGGTGAAAAGTTTACAGGGATCAATAGTGTGTAAATGTTAATATGAGTGTGTGTGCGTGTGCGTGTGCGTGCGTGCGTGCGTGTGTGTGTGTGTGTGTGTGTGTGTGTGTGTCTTACCTGAACCCAGGGGTACGTAGCGCCTAGTTCCTCAACGAGCTCTGCCCACTTGTCAATCACCTTGACAACCTCTTGTTTTTTCATGAGAGGNCATTGACACCCTTGATGGTGTCTCTGTTGAGTTTGTTGATACATACAAATATCTGGGCTTTTGGTTGGACAGTAATCTAAACTTTAAACACCATATTGAAGTTTTAACAAAGAAATTGAAATTCACTCTTGGCTTCCTTTACAGACTTAAATGTTGTTTTTCAACTTCATGATGTAGAGGTTGGTCTCTGGCTTATTCCTGTCCCAGCTGGACTACGGTGATACCATTTATAGATTTGCCTGTCCCACTGTTTTGGCCAAACTTGACCCACTCTACCATGCTGCACTGCGTTATATATCAAATGCACCCTATAGGACTCATCATTGCAAACTGTATAGCCTAACTGGATGGTCCTCACTTACTATGTGTAGGATGCAGTATTGGTTTTAATGTATAAAGCCATTTTAGGTAAGCTTCCACTGTACATATGTGCCAGATTTGCTCCAGCTTGTGACTCTTACAACTCAGATCCAGTGCCTGGATACGGTTCCAGGTACATGCTGTGCGGACTGAGGCTGGGAAAAGGAGTCTTTTTATATGGTCCTTGGTCTGGAATGACCTTCAATCACGTCTCAACTGACGGCACTTGTCTNGTAAGACACACACACACACACACACACACGCACACGCACACACACTCATATTAACATTTACACACTATTGATCCCTGTAAACTTTTCACCCCGCGCTCCTGGAGCGCGGGGTGAAAAGTTTACAGGGATCAATAGTGTGTAAATGTTAATATGAGTGTGTGTGCGTGTGCGTGTGTGTGTGTGTGTGTGTGTGTCTTACCTGAACCCAGGGGTACGTAGCGCCTAGTTCCTCAACGAGCTCTGCCCACTTGTCAATCACCTTGACAACCTCTTGTTTTTTCATGAGAGGAAGGGTGACGTCAGACCAGGGGTGGAAACACATGACCTTACTGAAGAAAGACATGAAGAAGAAAGGGAGGGTGGCAGAAGAGATGTTACACAGGGGAAAGTTAATAACCCACATCCTCCGCAGAAAAAAATATTAACCTAGACCTAGGACAAATAACATCCTAAACTGTCATCTCTATACATATTACAAATACCAATTCCTGTCATGATCTTAGTTTTGGTTTCCTGTTTTATTTTGAAATGCCTTTTCTTCTTAATAGTGCTGCTGCTGACTTTCCTGGGATTTCCATACACTACATTGAAAAAGAGAGATTTGATCTACTGTATTTAGGACTGGCCTGGTTATTAATAATACAATTATATAATCTGTAAGATTGTTTTTCTATATTTTTGCCACCCATGCTGCTGGGAGTATTAGAGCTCTGCCCAGATACCACTTGTGCTACGAGATGTATTCATGATGAGATAGTAACATCACAAAGGGAGATGTAATGGGCAATGTATGAATTTGAAAAGATAATAATAGAAGGACGCTTGATTTTAGACATTTTGATTTGTCCGTGGTCAGATTTAAAGCCAGAGCGTCTAGTTTATATGGTCTGAGCTTTCATCATTATATCAATTGATGTATGGACATTTTGTGCAGAATTCTGTACAAAACAAAGTGAGACAGGCTATCTGGACGAAACATAGCTTCTTGGTGTAATTATGTCTTACTTTGTACAGAGTTTAGAGGCGTGTGTGTATTTGATCCATGTGCGTGTTTGTGCGTTTTGCTCTTAGCCTTACCTACAGTACCCAGGGGGAACCAGCTCTACTGTCAGATCATTTAGATGTATATCAACAGAGCCTGGTACGGGATCAATAATTGAACACGACTTTGGATTTTATGCTCAGAGCAAAACTGAATGGTGGTATTTATAAATTGTTCATGAGTATCACAGGAGCTGCTAGCACTCTAATATAAAGTGTGTTAGTTTGTGTGTAGGTGTTAGGACTACCAACAGTTTGATTAAAGTACATACAAAAATGTTGCACTGGCATTGAATTCATTTGATGTAAATAAATGGATACAAACATAATCCGTAGACACTAGACTAAACATGCCCTGTTTTATTAAATGTTCTGGGTAGAAGAATATCTCGAAATATAATGTCATTACATAATGCCTCTACTGTGACATGTCTCCATGCTTTAATGTTCAAAAAGCTCTATTTGTCTCATACTGTCTATAGCGACAGCAGGAAACAAACAAAGTCGCTGAGAGGCTGAGGCCGGGCCTGTTTGATATTGTATGACACGCTAAAAAAGTACTTGCTGAGATCAAAAGCTCTGTTTCATAGTATTGTAGTTTAATGAAAAAACTCGGTGATCAGACATATACATTGTTATAATAATCAAAGCAATCGTAAACCTTGCGGTCAACAAAAAAGTACAACGGCCCTGTGTCACCCTCTCTTCCACACACACACCTCACGCAGGTGAACAAGATTATAATGAGTGCCGCCCATAACCATGTGACCCAAGCCAACCAANTTTATGAGCGCAGTAACGGTAAGGTATCTAATTACTTATTTAGTATTCCATAACTTAGTAACAGAGATGGTCAAACTAAAGTAGACATGGCAGAAATCCTACAATGAAGCGGGACATTGAACTGTTCACCCGTGAGAGGGCGATCAAGAAAAGAGAGCGAGCGGCCCCGTTGAGGGAGTTTACAGATGAGAA